AACCGGGGATTGAACTCAGACCCTTGTGCTTGCCAGGCAAGCTCTTATTCTACTGAGCCATCTCCCCAGCCCCTTCTTTTCTCTAAGATAGCTATATTTTAACATATTTCTAACTGTAGGTAGCAATAATGCTTATCAGGAGTTATATTGCTGCCTATATTGCTGTCTTACCTCTCAGTAGCTATATTGCTCTGGAATAGAGAGCTTCAGCCATATATGTCCTTGCGTGCCTCAGCTGTGGTTCTATCTTGACTTCAGAGCTCTATGCACATGCTCTTTTCCAATGTAGCTAGAGTTCTCTGTGCTCAGCAATTTAGCGCTGTACGACTGAATTTCCAACAGTCATTGTCTCAGATGATGTGTGGAAAAGAGGAATTAGAGGCTTGAATTACAATGGAGGGTTTTCACAGGAAATTTGAAGTGTAGTGAGGCCAACCCCTGAGGAATTGGTGTTCACTGCCAAGATAGTTTGTTATTTAGAATTGTGAAGACAAAAGATCTTGTTGATGCAGTGGATGGGATATGGCACAAGAAGCAGGTGTGAGGGTTCAGATCGATTGGACATCACAGGCCTCACAGAAGAAAGGAATCAGAACAGAAATTCAACTCTTGGTTAATACAGATCTATCATGAAAGACTTCAACATACAGGTGTGCCATTTGATAAGTAGAGAAATTGCAATTCAGAGGAATACGTACTCTCCGAAGATAATTGGTAAAATCATGTCCTGGTCACACTGGTACTGAAGCCAGATAATATGCATGTATTAGCCTCCTAAGATCACTGACATCAATAGGATTTTACCTTCTCTCAGGCTATGTAGCACTGTGAGAGAACTGGTATGGAGTAAAAAGCTCAGGAAGAACCTAAACTTGGAGCAGAATTGTCCTTTACTGCTGGTTGCATTGGAAATTCCATTCATTTTCATATTCAGGAAGTCCATATAGGCTGCATCCACGCCGAGAGTCATTTATGTGTAACATAACCTTCTTCATGCTAATCTATCAAAGCCTTGTTTGAGAATCAACCTTAAGGAATCAGAGTGTGAGTCTGTCCCATAGTGGACAATCTTTATAACCAAAATGGTGACTTCTGTTGTTTTCATTCTTGTTGAAGTCTCGCAAGACATTCAAACATTCACACTGGGATATCTGGCTTCAGCCTACTTTATGTAGCTGCAGTGTTATCATTGAACTAATCCAGACCACTTCTTGAAATTCCTGCTTCACCACCCTCCCCTCTTTGAAACACTCTGCACTCCTACCAGTTCCACTGCCTCTTCTCCCTTGGCTGCCCTGATTCTGTGCCCTTCTCCTGCCCCGTGCTGGTGGGTGCTCTCAGCCTCAACTGCAGCTATGTCTATGTTTTATTCTCAGAGCTTTCTCTTCTGTTGCACAGGTTTTCAATGAAGCCACACACATATATGATGTGCTTATGCATCTTCATCTGGATTACTGTGCCTGACTCCCACATGCCTCTTTACAGTCTTGTGACAGTCTAATTGTATTCCATCGTCTTCACAAGACTCTGATTGAGTCTGCTTTTAAATGTATGTAATATTTGGAGCCAGCATCATAAGGCTATTTTTTTCTCACTTTTCTTTGAGGAAACCACATCGTTTCAAGGATTGAATCCTCCTACACAGTTCCTCCAACACATCTCTCTTTATATTCCTAACATTATTCTCCTAAGTATAAAGAGGAATCTGTGTGTTACAGAAGCCTAGGAAAGCATAAAGAAATAAGGAACTCTGCAAGGCCATGAGAAATGGAAATCTCCATATATTTATTTCCCAGGAAGTGCATCTTAATGTGATCAATAATATATAGCAATAAAAGCAAAAGAAATAAAGAAATATACCCTTAATAAAATGTCCCATTTCTTTCTCTGCAGAAAGACCTGTTCAGGTAAATTTTACATGTCTATTATGCCCTTAGTATAAAAGTTTCCTGAAGTTTATTTGTTCACTAGAAAAACCCACCTATTTTTAACCTGTCTTTTAGGGCCTTTTCTGACATACCTGCACATTCCACAATTATATTTCTCTGTCCTGCATTTCATCTGATGATATTCATTTCCTGCTTTCAGCTTCCCACCCAAGCTCGGCATCTTCTCTCCTCTGCCATTTATACATTCCCATTCTGTGTTGAGTTGTTTACTTGTCATTAGTAGTGAACATCAGCTTTTGTGTACCAATGAATGACTCACTCCTTAACCCAGCCCCAATAACAACTTTCTGATTAGTGTACAAGGACACACTCTCTTTCCTCCTGGTGTTTAGACTGTGTGTGGCTCTTTGTTCCCATAAACTCAGATTTCCTGAAAAAAGAGGCCACCTGCTCTGCATGCTTTCATCCATCATGCAATGCAACACCAGGATTCTAATGGGCACACATTTCTAAGGTAAGGGACGCATACTGTGCTCATTCCCAGCTTCTCTCCGTTGTGTACAGACTTTTGCCTGGATTTTTTTCCTCTTGTCTGTTGCAATTTTCTTCTCTATGTAGGCTTTTGAGATAGCAAGGACAGTTTTCCTTATCCTCACTTTACTGGAGAGGAATCTGAGTCCTACCTAGTTGATTTGCGGAAATTATTCAAGCTTATGTGCGTAGGAAGAGGCAAACAGCAACTTGAATAAAGTTCTAACCTCATCCCTTTGATGTGTCTTCTTTCCTGTCTATGTCCAGCAGGGCACCTGTCCTCACCACCTGTGGTGGAAACCATGTATGGCAAAGTCCTGGGAAAGTATGACAGCCTGGAAGGATCTGCACAGCCTGTGGCTGTTTTCCTGGGAGTCCCCTTTGCCAAACCTCCTCTTGGATCCTTGCGATTTGCTCCTCCACAGCCTCCAGAGCCCTGGACTTACGTGAAGAACACCACATCTCACTCTCCTATGTAAGCCAGTGGGCTCATTCACAGGAGATGGTTGTGTTAGAGGGATGGAGGCATGCATGAGGAGGCAAGACATCAAATGTTTGATTTAAACTGTGTTCTAGAATTCTCTATAATACTGTAGACTCTTAGAAATATTTCCATTATTTCATCATGCTTTGTTTCTGTTAAGAATTATTATTGCACATCTGATATACTTTCTTAGAAAACATTATTGAACAATACAAAACACATCTGGTCATGAATTGTGCAACTGGCAGAGGGAGAGATAAATAATATGCAAATTAATAACTGACTTAGGTACTCTAAGATATTGTGCAGAATTCTGGAGTGAAGAGTGATCCAGTGAGAGAAAAGACATGTAATGATGATGTCTATTCTCCCATCTTAAGCCTTGGAATAGCTGAGAGGCAGTGGTGGATGACAGAATGATGTGGTATAGCATATGATTTGGGGTTAACTTCACAAGTTCTTCTTCGCAGGTGTGTCTATATTGCTATGCTCCAGTTGTCATGAATAGGTGAAACAAAAGTTCTTACCTTGTCTAGTTCATAGCCACCTCACAATCACCCCCAGTGCACCTCAGTCAATGGCTATCTGTTGGGTCTATCAAAATATTAGAACATTTCTTACAATGTACTTGAAGATAACCCAAAATAGCATGAATCTTCCTGTCCATGTGAACTTGGAAGGTTCTCTAAACTCATTGTTCCTCAATTTTCTTATCTATAAAATGCCATAAGTAACAGAGCCCCTGCCTGTGGTTGATCTGTAATTTCAATGAGTTAGTTCACAAGAACTTAAATTGGAGGGTGGCACACAGGGATAATTCAATATGGTCAACCAGTCTTAACCTGTGTTGGATCTTGGAGACCTCTTATTAGGGCAGCACACTGGATCATGCATCTTAGTGTGCTGGATATGCAAGACTCTTAAAGAAAGTGCTCACTTCACTTGGCTCTTACAGATTGGGGCCCTGAATATAAAGAAATTCATTCAATGTCATCCAGCACTTCTGGTTTCCTGATGCTGTCCCAAACCAGCGGGTCAGTCAACGAAGGTCACAGGCGGGAGAAGCGGGGAATTGAAGAGGGGACAAAGGACAGGAGACGCGAGAAATGAGGACAAGACAGGATTCTGATCAAGTTCCATTTATTTAGGGGAGGTTCTGGGTATATATAGTGGAGGCATAAGGAAATGATGTGTGCGGGTAAAAGGCCTGAGTAACTAGGCAACGGGACTATAACAGGAAGTCCCACCTCTGGGGCATAGCAAGAGACTTATGGGAAATAGGAGGGTTGAGAAGGACCATAAACTAAACTCAGCAGAGGAATAGAATTAATGGCCTCCCACATGATGCAAGAATGAAATGGAGTTTTCCAGTGATTACTTTCAAAATGCTTGTTGAATATGAATGTCTGATATTTGGGAAAGTTTCCCTAGGTGATGGAAGTCTACCAAGGACTAGAACTTGGTTAGTTGTTGGAGGAACATAATTGCCTAGCACTGCAAAAGAGAGTGGGGCTATCTTGATAATGAAGGAAATGCCATTGACCAGGATCAATCAGTTCATACACAAACTTTCGTCCCTGAAAAAGAGACTCTCCAACTCTCTGAAGGAAAACACTAAGTCTTTACCACACTACATGGTCTGTAAGGTTCACAAAGTCCCAGGATTTCCATCAAGACCTCTAGAAATCTCTTGCTCAAGTTAATTCCTCCATTCAGGCATGGTATTTACATATATAGGCTTAAACTCCCTGGAAAAAGGTAAGAACAAAGGCAAAACTGGAGGTTCCATCTAGTTAAAGTTTATGTTCTTTCTTCCCTTCCAGGTGTTCCCAAGATCCAGTTGCAGGGCAGACAAGTTTAGACATAGAGAACACCAGAAAGAGTATCACTGTCACGTTTTCTGAAGACTGTCTGTACCTGAATATTTACACCCCTGCTGACTTGACAAGGAAAAGTAGGCTTCCGGTAAGCCTGGGAACCATTTGGTAAGACTGGTGAGTTCCAGCACTTGGATCATTCAGTACATATCGGATGGTGATGAAGGATTCTTGAAGCAGAAGCACCACAGGACAGTGCAGATTCATGGGCCCAGAATTTCCTTTCATCACAGGAAATGCACATTTCCATTTTATGTTCTCTTGATCATTTAACTCATTTGGGGGAGAATTATATCCAAATGGAATATATACTGTAGATTTTCTAAGTTCATCATATTAACAGCAAGAAATAAATAATTATACTTCATTACTAGTTAGCTAAGATCTTTCTGATCCTATATAGCTAAGATTTAATTTTAAGGTAAGATAGAGCTGGAAATTATATTTGAGAAAACAAACCCTTCACCTTAATGATAAGCAAACTGGGTGGAAGATGAAGAAAAGGCAGTCACACACAGGGAAGGCAACACAAGACATTGGATCTTCTGATCATCAAACCAGTGTGTTCTAACTGGCCTGGGAAATGAAGCACATGTGCTGGTTTCTGCACAGCACCCATGTCAACTTTCAGTATCCAGAAAGTACAGTGAGGCCTTTCACTGTCCTGTGGCAGAGGTGTTGGTGAGATTTTCTCACATCTCCCTGATTGCTTTGGCTCTGGCTGATGTTTCCATGAGTCAGCATTTATCCAGTGAATTAAAGGTCAAAGGCAAGGCAGATTACAATTGTAGACCATGGGATGTGGAAAGCATACTGCAAGACAGGACATAGTCTCCAGCAATATCCTATTATAGGTCTCAGGTATTGTGCAGAAGTTTGTGATCTTAGGACTAGAAGTTATCCCTATATGTGCTTTGTAAGGCATAAGGAAAGGGGAAAATGTCCCTCATTTATTGATTCATCAATATATTCATTCATTCATTCACTCATTCATTCATTCATTCAACTAATTAATCACTCACTCAGTTTTCTCTTCTATACTCAGTGTTACTTGATTCGAAGAGGAGAAATATGCAACTATGCCCCCATTCATCATGCAGGTCCTGCCTTCAAAGATATTACAATCTTGACCACATAGCTATCCGTTAACTGCTCAGCATATCATTGACAATCATTTCTAAGGCTCAACCTCCACTCAATAATGACTCCTTTCTTGCCTTGGAGATATGCTCATGTCAGAGGTTAAAAGCAATGGCGGGGTGGGGGGGGGCTTCCCCTTAGCTCAGTTCTTTAAGTGGCAGCTTCAACAAAGCAGTCAGACTCAGGTTGCTGTGGTTCAATCCCCCAACTCAAGCCAGCCAAAGCTGCCCTGAAGACATTTGGAGAAAAAAAAAGCAAAAGGGTCTTCAGGAGATAGAAAACAAGAGACGTTCCAGCTGTAGACAGAAGCTAGAACTACAGGATCCTCCTTTGAGTGAAATATACGTGAGAACAATTTCTTAATTTCTCTCAAACTTTCTTTCATCAAATAAAATAATACCTATGGGTATCTGGTTATGAGTACCAAGCTTTTTGGCAGTCTGGACATGTTCATAAACCGGCACCAATGAACACAATAAGAACTGACTTTCTATAGTGTAGCCATTGATGGCAGTCAATAGGAAGCCTAATACCTGAGTGCTGGACCATTCTGCATGGGCAAGTTCAGCAGCTACCGGTTAATAGCCATGGCAGCTTATGCAGATATTATTTTCCAGATTTCCCCTCTGTTACATGGGAAAATATTAGTGTTTGCCTGGTGAATGTGTTATTTAAAGACCTTAATATAGGCATGGAGCTATTTTAGTGGATTTTTTATTAGAAGAATTACAGTGTGGCTGTTGTTTTATCTTCCCACACCATCCTTAAATGTGAACTTTTGAAATACAGTAACTAGGACTATGAGCTGCTGCATCCCCTCTCATCTTCAACTCTGATCTCTGCCCTTGGCACATAGTAGGCTCTCAGATAATGTTAATTAAATCACTGAAGATTGATGAAGGAAGAGGGGATGAGGTAGGCTCAGGAAGGTGGGAGGATTTGGAGTTAGAGAGAAGGCATGGAAAGAAAGATCACTGTCCAGGCCATTATGCATCTTGAGAGAATCATCCCTGCATACATATTTAATTCCCCAGTAAAAACTAAACTGAGATGAAGCTGAAGTACCAGATCTTCCCATGATCATGTCATCTGGATGAATGGTCAGGCAGAAGGATGGTGTAGTGTTGGGCTTTGTGGCTTGCATAGTGATATTCTTAGGAAAAAACAAATAAAGTCTGGGGAAAAAAGAGGGGACACTCAGGCATATTGAGTAGGGTGATGTCCTGGAACCCAAGTGGGAGAGTAGAAGAGCAACAAAGAAGTCATTTGCAAATGTGATGGCCACTGTGAAGTTTAAACTGTGGGTGCTCTGAGTGAGGGATGGGAGCAGAGAATGAAACCAGACCATGTCTGAGATCCTTCCCAATTCTGCTTCCTGTAAGCCTTGTGGATGTGTCTGTGTAGGTGCTGGTATGGATCCATGGAGGTGGTCTGTTGTTTGGTGGAGCACCACCCTATGATGGACTGGCTCTTGCTGCCCTTGAGAATGTGATTGTAGTGACCATCCAGTACCGTCTGGGCATCTGGGGCTTCTTCAGGTAAGATTCTGGCCTCTTCACACATTAGCTTTTGAGTTGGTATGTTTTGTGTGACATGAAAACTACCTGACACTAACTGATTATTTTAAAGAAACAAATTTATTTGTTTTATTCCATCACCAGGGGTTTCATTCAATTAGTCTTTGGTGACAGTTCTCAGGCTGTGTCACAACATGGTGGAGATCAGAAGGGGAATATTTAGTATACAAAATATGCCACAGGAGAAGACAAGGAGTCAAGAAGGAGAAGTCAGAGGCAAGCTTCTGTTTTGTAGCAGATTATTCTTTCAGAACTATCCAGCATCTCATTGGATCTATATTAAACTCTTCTAAGGACAGTTGCCCCAGTGATCTAGGATACAGTTACATTAGGGATCAAAACCTCAGCACAAGAACATTTGGGATAATGGGCCAGGAACCTCATGCAAACCAAACTATAGTGGCAGCCACATAAAATATATGAAGTTAGAGTTGGCATTATGTCTCTCTTAAGGCTTGTAATAATGCATAAAGTTTTCTTGTTATTGTACCCCAGTAAACTTTCCACTGATCAATCACACATTTATTGTGAGATTTTGCATGGTTTTTAGTCCCTCTGCCTGGAATGCCTGATCACCCTATCAAACTCTTATTCATTGTGGAAAGCCTAGCTTTCATATTATTGCCACTGAAATATTCATTTACTTTTTACCTGTGCTGTATCCCAGTGCCCACCAAAGTCAGGAAAGGAGCTTTTTCTCCTTTGATGGGAGTGAGCATTCAGTAGAGAAATTAAGTGCTATACATCTCGGGGGAAATAGGAAGAGGCAGTTTCAGGGAGGAAGTGTAGATGTATTTTTACTGAGACAGACTTCCAACCAATTCACTGCCAGCCAGGGTCTTCTCATACAGGACGATAGTGATCCAACAGCTCTTGCTCCTGCCTCATGGGATTTCTCACCACCAGTTACAGAGACCCTCTCTGAAGGGCTTCCTTCAATTTCTGCCAAGCTACAACCTCCTGGGTGCTCCTTCTCAGCTGCTTTCTTACTTTCACCCCATTTGCAGTCCTCTCTTTCTCTCTCCCCTTCTCCCCTAATCCCTGAGCACTTTTACAACTTCTCATTTGGAGTATTGACCCCCCCTTTGTAAATTTTTTTATAGTATAGATTAAAAAATTGTTATTCTTTTAAAAAAGATAACTATCAATGAAACAGTTTCAAAACAAGTTAGTAGGATAGTTACAGTAATCGATACATTGCATATTGTTGTCTTCATAGCAGTGATTCAGTGGACCCCTTTTACTGTCAGGTGGCATCATTTGATATCCTCTCCCATTTCCATGGATCTCTACAAGATGCCTCCCACTTGCACCTATATACTGTGATGTCCAAGAAGCACCCTTACCCAAGAAGGATCTTCCTCTCTTACCCAAAAGCCCATAGTGCATTTTCTAGCTCTATCCTTCCTGTTTCTCAAGATACCAGTCAACTGGGAGGAACCTTTTCTTAATTTTCTCTTTTTTTAAAATTTGGAAGCAGATACTTTATTAACTGACCAAATCATAAAAATACCATGGTAGATACCTTAGTTCATCCTTCTAATAAATAAACTTGTTGATCTGGTCTTTCCTATTTCCAGTATCTCCACCTTCCATAAAATGGGTGGTCATTTTCTTCAGTCCACCTCACAGAGATGATAGTTTGAATAGCCACAGGAAATTATTTGCCTCTTTGAAGCATTTTTCAACAGTATAAATCTCATGAATCAGATCCTCCATGTAGCTGATGCCATATTTACCAAGAGATTGAGCAATCAATGAGTTATCTGTCAAGGCAATTCTCTTCTTACTGAGTTTGCCATAGCCACTCTTGTATATTAGTCCATTCACTGACTTCAGGTTTGGTACCCCCAAGCAATGTATGGCTCCATAATTCTCAGCATGTTAAATGAAGCCTTGTCAAGCTTAACAGAGGTACCATTGAGGATTTGGTGAAGGTGAAGAAGCTGCAGCACCTTACGGACCTTTGGGCTCACACCATTGATATCCCTAATCCAGATGACAAATACCAGTTTGGGCTCTGCAGGGACATGGACATTGCCAACTTTTCTCACCATCCTAGCCATTCTGATCTCAGTTCTGTACATCTGTCTGTACTCCTTATGATAGTGCCTGGCTTTTTCATAGATGAAATTCCTCCTCGCCTTGTGAAGCACCTTCTGGGAAAACTTCTTTCTCAGGTACTTTATCTTCAACTCTGTGAAATGTCTTTGCTTTTTCTTAATGGTTTATGGCACAATAGGAACCTTCTTTTTCTAGTCTCTATACTCTCCATGTTTCCAGCCTGAAAAGAAGAAGTCCTCAATTTTCTTTCAATACTTCCACTTGGTCAGCAAATCTTACTGGCTCTAACTTTGAAATGCATTTATCCAACCATTCCTCACCTATTCCACTCTCAGACTAAAATCAAAGATGCACAGCTCCTTTATTTAGAACTTTACCAAATGCTAAAGCAGCAGAGAAGCTTTCAGCAGTCATGGGATCTAAAATATCACTGCATTGTCCCACGACTGCTTCTTTCTTTACCAGGTGTTATTTTTCCTAATGTCACTTTCAATAGTGGAAGGAATAACTTCTCTTTATTTGTTTGTAGAGTATCATCTAAGCTGAGTAAATACAGAGATTTTTGCCTGTTCTTTTCTTAAGTGCAATCTAGGCCTCAGGTCATTCTTTGATGAACAGTAGATGGTCAGTCTGAGTAACTGGAAGAATGAAGGTAAAGTACTCCATTGAATACTGCTATAGGAATGATAGGCAGAGTAAGGCCCCTATATCAGGCACACAGAGCCCAGCCCCTTATTCTGGAAAAATGAGAGACCTCAGATCATTTCAGTTCTAAAAGCATCACTGTGATAGTTCTGATTTCTACCCACCTTTCTGTCTCTTGCAGTACAGGGGATGAACATAGCCCAGGGAACTGGGGTCACTTGGATCAAATTGCTGCACTGCACTGGGTTCAGGACAACATTGCCAACTTTGGGGGCAATCCAGGATCAGTGACCATCTTTGGACAGTCAGCAGGAGGTGAATGTGTCTCTGTTCTTGTAAGTCTTCTGGCCACCAGACACCCATCCTAGACTTGCTATGGGTGCTGGTGAAATGTCTTGGGAAGCAGCTATTCCAGTCATGGGTGCCTCTCTGTACTCTCTATATGACTTGTGTTCATTGCTGAGCTTACTAAGTGCTCATATCAGCTCATGAAGAACCCAGGCTCAACTTTCAATACCCTGCAGGTGGCTTAGAGACAGATTAGTTTCCTGGGACTGTAAGAATTTACAAATTTAACTGGCAATAGCAATATTACTCTTCTTTCCCCTTGAGTTTTCACTATTCTTTTTAATCACTTTTATTGTTTATTAGTGTTTTAATTTATTAATTTTAACTGGTAATTTAATTTATTAACTTTATTGATTTAATTTGGATAAGCATAATAATGATGTTCATTACAGGGAATTTGTTCTCGTATATGTTGTGTCTTAATTTTTTCCCCCAACACCCTCCTTTCTATTCAACCCCTCTTCCTATCTTTATTTGCAAGGCTTTATTTATGTTTTATCCTTCTTTTTTTCATTTTTAAATTTCTTTTCCTCCCTTTCCCCTCTCCTCTTCCTGGATTCCTTTTGTTTTCTTTGTTTCTTTTCTTTTTCACATTAAACGTTATACACTTTGGTCCTTATTTACATGTACAGATTCTCACAGCAGAGAAACAATGCTATACTTCATCATTTGTCCCATATTTATTTCACTTAACAGTATGTTGCCAAGGTGCATCCATTTTCCTAGAAATGCCTCAATTATATCCTTCATTATGGTTGAGTAGTAGTACTCCATTTTACAAAAGATAATCTTTTTTTTTGTCCATTCCTCTGTCGGTGTGTATTTGGGTTGTTTCCAAGATTTTACTTCCAAAAACATAATTGTGCATATATCACCATGGTCAGAAGTTTCTGAGCACCAAATATCACCTTATTTCCCCTGGTAAAGTAGGGTTGATATAAACTGAATACAGTAACGTCAAGGATGTGACTTGATGCTATAGAGCACACAGGGGCTTCCTGTAAGGTGCTCTGACAACTTGTCCATGTCTAAGAGGGAGGACAACACTCTTGGGACTATGGATAAAATTGGACCTGGCCAAGCAGGTGAGAAGAAGGAAGTAGGGAAATTGAAAGCAGAGGGAGATAGTGACAGGATGGTATAGGAATGTTATGACACAGAACCAACCTGGAGTGTTGAGTTGTGCTGCTCTTATGGGGATTGGGACTGGAAGACACTCATTCATGTTAAAGAGGCTGTTAGGAATCTGAAGAGATCAATCAGGCTTTCATTATTGGGCAATTATGAGCCTTATTTTATGTTTTTCCCACAAGGTATTAGTTTCATAGTTGAATATCCAAAAGATGATTTTGCATATACTTTATAATACAGAAAGGTAAAATTGTTAAGCCCAATAAACAAAATGGTCATCTGTATTTCCACTATCTACAGTAGTCACTGTGGAACATTAGCAGAATGTTTTCCACGTATTTTCATCTGTGTATCTATACACCAAACATCGTACCACTGAACAACAACTATAGCTCTTTCATGATGATTATATTGTTGGAATAAATTCTAACTAATGGAGATTCTGAAACAGAATTTGTTTCTGTAAATGTTAAGTGTCTTCCCAACAGTTTGATTGTTGTCATGGGCATATTCCACACACTTCCAATGTTATTCTCTCTTGTCAGCTCTCACCCCATCCCTTTAAAGTTCTCTAGGGACAACAGTACCCAGAGTGAGACTGGAAAGCAAGGAGGAATCTGGAAAACTTCCATATCTACTCAGTGCTATTGTCTTTTTTTAGAGAGAAAAAAACAGAAAAAAGAATCAATAAAATCAATATCAAATTTTACAACAAGATGAAAAGAAACTAACAGTGATTATAAAATTGAATATTGTTGTGTGTCAAACTATCTGCTCAGATTACAAGACAGAGGCAGGCAAAAAATATATAAGTACAGGGACAAAAGAGATGGTACAGTAGAAAAAGCACTTGCCTTGCAAGCACAAGTGCCTGAGTTCAATCCCTGATTCTGCAAAAAAAAGACATATATATATATATATATATATATATATATATATATATTATTCCTTTCAATGAAATAATAGAAATTCATATTACAATTATCCTAGCTATCTTGTTATAGCTATAACAAGCTATACTGAGGGCCCAGTGTCTTAAGGTGAATGGACAGGGTAGAAGAATGGGTAGATGGAGTCTTAAAGCATAAGTGAGTCACTGATCTCCACGCTTTGAGAATTAACTTCCACCCTCCTCTCCCCTCCCAGGTGCTATCTCCCCTGGCCAAGAACCTCTTCCACAGGGCCATTTCCCAGAGTGGTGTAGCCCTCACTCCTGGTTTGTTAAGCAAGGATGCTAAGCCTCTGGCTAAGGTATGACTCATGCTAACCATATAATGTATATTTTCTTCACCTTGCACAGATATGGTACATTCTCTGCCCTCCTGGAATCCACAGAGGAGTTTCTTGCTATGAAATTCCAAGGTATCATCAGATGCTGAACAGATCACTGAAGTGAGAATAGCTGAGCAGGAAGAGATACTCCAAGTCTCATATTTAACCATATTTCATACTGTGTAGAATACCTTTCAGTGAATCATCTTACCCATGTCTCCTGCAATTCTGTATAAGCACTACTCTGTGGGAGACAGGACACATTTTATTCAGCACATCACTTTTCCTAAACCTACAAGAGAATTGCAAAGATGGCTTTCAGTGATGAAGGGGAAAAAAGATGTCAGGATGTTAAGGGGCTTGCTGGAGATCACATAGCCAGGAAGTAGAAGAGTTCAGATTTGACATCAGACAGTGAAATCTTGAATGCAGTCTTTGACTTCCATGCCGAAGAACCACTTTTGAGATATCCAACTTCCAGAATATTGTGTTTATCCATCAAATATTTATATGTGGTGCTTGGGATAATTATTATGGCTATTTCAACAGATCAACTATCAGTGATTGTGTTACTGGATCATGCCCATTTATGAATGAAACAACAACTCTTGGATAAAAGCAAACCTCACCGCTGCTGGTGCAGATTATGTTCAACTACCTTCCACTGCATTTAGACACTGAATTTGTGATAACAGATAACACCCCTTTGAATACATTGATAAAAGAAAGAGACAGTACTTTGGAACTCTGTTGTTATTGCAGAAAATTGCTGTCACTGCTGGGTGTAAAACCACTTCCTCAGCTGTCATGGTTCACTGCCTGCGCCAGAAGACAGAGGAGGAACTGTTGGAGACCACACTGAAACTGGTAGGTGTCTCTGTTCTTGTGGTAACTGTGTACTTGACCCTACACTTCATCTCTTCAGCTCTTCTCTTTCCCTGGTTAAGCCATCTGAGATAGTTTCTCCTTTTCAGCAGCACAGTTAGGCTGCTAATCCAAAGTGGGAGTTTGACTTTTTCTTTCTTTCTTTTTTTTTTTTTTTTTGTTATGAAGTAGCACAGATGTCAAAATATCCAACACTAATCTAATGAAAACCTACATAAACTTTTATGGTTCTTTCTACCAAAGTCTTTTGATATTCATGTTTTCAAATGTATTTTAAGAAATTGAATACACTATATTTCTGCAAGGAATTAGCATCCTGAATTTGGGGAATAGGAACATTAAGTACTAAAGTTTTTTTTTAAAAACATCACAGTTCATGTTGATTTATTTATAAGCTATACAATATTCTACTTATATAAGTAACTTCAATTTAATTCAATATAAATTTATAGAATTTATATTAAATTCTACTTATATAAATGAAGACAATTTATTTATATATATCATTGGCCTATATTTCTGCAGTATGTGAAAACTGACTAAATTAGGATAGCCTGGTAAGTTGAGAAGAGAACATCACTTTTTGAGTTCTGTCTGTTCATAAGACATGATCTCCTATAAAATCACAGTGTTAACTTTGCTTTATAGTCAATTAGAATGACCCTAGCATAGAGTTCCCTGATCTATATTTCTATCATCCATCCATTCATTCATCCATCCATGCATCCATCTTTTTCATCTATACATCCTTCTACCCAGACAATTCATTTATAGTTTTAGATCAATCAAGTGTTTACCCACACATAATATTTCCTTTGTTTGTTTCTCCTATGTTCATCTCAGTGAGTTACAAGCCATCTGATAGTTCTCTCTCATTCCTGAAACAAACTTTCTGACAACCAAAATTAAAAGAGGAAAGTTTTGCTTAGCTCACAGTTGGAGAGGTTTAAGTGAATAATTGTTTAATGTCATAGCAGTGTGGACTGTAAGACAGGCATTGCAGAGAAGAAACTGTGCATGTGGGAAAAATTTAGCAGAACAACAAGAAACAAGACAAGTTGATTTCTGTATCTTCCACTGTATTCAGGCTACCAAGATCAGGCTGGTATCAAACCAATCAGGAGTATGATCCTGGCACCTTTAAACCTAACATTGCACAGTGTATCAGCCATCTCTGAAAAAGTCCCACCTGTGACTGTATGAGACTTTGGATGGACACCTCAACAAAAGCCATAACATCAGGAAAATAATTCTATGTCTTCACCCTGTACTCCAAAAGCAAAGACACATCTGTCACTTACCTGCTAGTTGTCACTGGTATATCCATATATCCATCCAATTAGGTTGCATTAAACAAATATCCAGTCATCTCTCTGTGCTAACTATATTGAAGGGTGCTCTCAGATGAGAGGAGCTACACTAGCTACTATTTAATCAGGGAGTTTCATTTTTCCTTATTAATTATGAAAGTAATTTATGAATTGGCCAGATCTGTCTTCACAAAGAACTACACAAAGAGAAACAAAGTCATATAGTGAGTGTGTTAAGCATAGTGGGAGTGCAGAAAGGAAACATGCTCATAATAGCCAGCAGTCATGGATCTTAGGGAAGGTGACCCTTGCACATTGATGGAAGGTCATGGCCATGTGTCATCACAGGGAAGCTTAGCAAGACAGCCCTCAAGAGAAGAGCATGCAGAGCCCATGGAAACTGCTTCCTTCATGGGAACATTTTGATTGTGGTCTCATGAGTTACCTGAGCTTCTCAGTCCTCTGTCTAGATCTCAACCATGAAAGAAACTTCTGTATCTTCAGGGTAAGCTGCTAGTGCTATGTTTTGCCATTGCATTCACAGACTGACTCTACCATGGCACTGTTTCAGTCTAGGTTCATCATATCAACTAGGTTTAAACAAGATATCCAAGAAATTAAGTCATTGCTCTTTTATGATACTTGAAAAGAGGAAAACATTTTAGTCATTCTCCTTGTGGTACTAGAAGGCTTAGATTACACAAAAATAATTGATGACTTAGGGGAGACTCTGAGAACCTGAGATCCCAGTACATTCTGGGTTGGCTACCACACCTGTTTAGGCTACCCCTCATAATGGAGAAATTTTCTCTTGGTGAACACATAGGTCACCAAACTATGTAGGTGAGACCCATTAGTTTTTCAGAACCTGTGAAACCTTGCAATACTGGGGAAAACACAACAAAGAAAAGCACGAGTTGAAATCAGATTCTGTGGTTTTGTGTTAGTCAGGTTTTCCTAATGCAAAATGAGGTAGCTCCTTTCAATTAGGACTTGAAGAAAAAAGCATTTTAATGCAATAAAGTCTTCAGTCAACTGAAAATTTCAGAAACAGGTGACTTATTTCCACTTCATTGGATCTAAGTATTATTATAAATTTATCTGTGTTGTTCACTCGGTTTTTACTCCCCTTTGTTAGTTTGTCACTGAAACACATATATCACTTGGTGAGGGGAAAAGAGAGCATCATCCTGGGCTTCCATCTGTTTAGAAATCGTCTCCCATAAGATCACAGTGTTAACTTTGGTATACAGTCAATTAGACTGACCCTGGCATATATGCATCCTTATAGCAATCTATTAATTTGAGGATATAAAGACTCAAAGTCATATATAGATACTTGAAATCACAAAGTGGCAGAAGAGGGAAACAGATGAAGTATGATGAGAATGCCCTCAGTGGTCACTCCATCCCATCTCTTCTCCCATCAGTCACTGAAGCTATCACAGTTCTGTCACTCTAGTCAACTTTCTTTCACTTTATGCAAGAGGTGAATTGAGATGATGTTGCCAAGTTGAACATTTGCATGAAAGGATGTCAGAGATACTAAGAGAAGATATTTACTCAAAGATTTCCAGTGATCCTGATTCTGGGTTCCAGGGTATAACACCCCTCCCCTTGCTGGTGCCTGAGCCTACCTGATCTACTTGTTGCCCTGTGCTTGTATGCAGGACAGCCTGTGGGGAATCATTTTTCTCTAGGTCCAGAAAAAGATGAAGCAGAATTAAAAATAGAGTGACTCTGTGGCACAGATTAAAGATGAGCTTTATCATGAGGAGGATTTCTCACAGCATCATTTTTCTTTGTCTTCACAGAATTTTTCTACTCTGGATTCTTTTGGAGACCCCAGAGAGGTAAGGATTTTTGTTTTCTTGACTATAAGTTTTGATCCTTTAAACCTTTTAAGCTCCAATTCACAATGAAAAAAATCTCTTTTGTGGAATTAGAGTTCCATTTTAGGGACATATTGTTGAGGCCCAGAGTGGATCATGACTTTTGAAGGTAACCTAGACAGTAAGATCATAGGCAGGATGAAGTACATTACCCTAAGCCCAAAGCTGTGCTCCTGATCATCAGATCTGTGTACACTGGGCATATATACATTTCCTCATTCACATTTTCTTTTTTGAAAAGCTTCTGTGAAGACACTTGACCAGAATATTCTATTATCATGAGGTGGAGGAAACAGCATAGGAGCCCAGGATCCTTCACTGAGCCCAATCTCATAGGAGGACATAAGGCTAATTATCCATGCAAAGAAGCAGCCTGTGATTACAGCTCTCCTCCCAGCACCCAGGAAACCCGCTGAAATCCTCCATTGCCCTCACTCTCAACTGCCTGTAACTGTGAAAGAGAAAGGGTGCAATGGGGTGAGAATCCGGCAGTGTTGCAAATGTAAATAGCAACATCAGGGATTGATAGAGTGGGTGTATTCAGCAATGTTCTTGTCACTGAGACAAAATACCTGGCACCCACAGCTTGAAGGAGAAGAGGTTTATTTTGGCTTGGAGTTTCATTGGATTGAGTCTGTGAAAGACTGACTCTAAGACAGAAATGCCATGGTGGAAGGGTCTGGGGTAGGACAGTTCTTCACCAACTGCAGACAGGAAGCAGAAAGAGACGAGTAGAGTCTGTCTGTGCACACATCCTTCCAAGTAACCTGTCCAACTTGACCAGATGCCCCACCAAACATGAGACTTTGTGGGGACTTTGACATCAAGTTGGTGATGAGGGAGTACAGCTGCAAAAGAGGGAAGCATCCAGCACTCAAGAAACCTGGATAAGAGTGTTGGAGGCAGGGTTATGAGAAACTCAAATGCCTTGTTGCAGGAAGTCTGTGCGTTTGTAGAGGAGGCAGTGAGGGTAGCTGAAGGCTGTAGGCTCAGGTCAAGAGGCTGGGATGTGGAAGTCACTGACTAGATTTTTGAGTCAGCAAGAGATAGGAGGTGCTTAGAGGCTCTGAATTGAACAGTAATGTATCTTATATTTTACATCACACTCTGAGTCCCACTTGCACTGAAGAGCAGAGGTAGGTCAGGTGCAGAGGGAGCAGAGACTGCAAGTTGGGGACAACCCACTTCTGCAGCCCAGTCACAGGATCCTAGTTGATCACACCAGGGCTGGTGAGTGAGAAACAGATGTGTGGGTGAAATCTAGATGTGCCTGGAGGGAGAACTGACAGGGCCTTCCAATAAGCTGGGTTTTGATTGTGAGGAAAGGAAGATGCCCTGACTTTTCTCAGCCCAGCAAGATTGTGCAGATGGCTTCACAGGCAGCCACCCATGTCCCCTGAGTAGACAGTGGCATTACAGTTGTTTTCATGGTTTCTGGTTGTAGTGATCTACCATGGGTGCTTTCCCAACAAGACTTTCATTGCTTGACTTCAGAAATTTTATTACATACTGCCTCCCTTTTTTCCTCCACATTTCTGCTGTGAACGTTATCATAAGACTTGTCTTTGTAAACTTAAGGTAGAATATATCATGGCCCATCCTCAAAGAATGATCTTGTTTAAAAGACACACTGACTTTCTTTTAATTAGACCAAAACATAGCTGAAGGGTAAGGATGTGTCACATATTATGCAGAAAGCATGGTCCACCACCTAGCAACAACACAGGTTCCTGCCATGAGGTATTCCTTCAAGCTCACTCCATCTACTATCCTGATTTGGCTGAGCACAATGACATCTTTGTGCTTTTGCTCAAGTGTTTTCTACTTTTGAGAAATTCCCGCCTTTCTTTTCACTTGGCTATAGACTTCATCCTCACATTCTCAGGCTTTCTCCAGTGGCATCGGTTTCACACAGTGCCTGTTCAGTACTGTCCGACTATTGTAGTAGGATTTAGCTCTTGTCTTGATCTTTTCTTGTTCTCAAATAGGGAACCACATCACAGTTAGGCACATTTAGTGCTACACTTAAAAAGCTTCTGCTTTATTGATAAACAGAGAAAACTGATCCTCAAAAATCTGGAATTCTGTAATTTTGAATTCATTTACTTGTTGAAATGTTTTTGTTGCCCCAAATCAAGTCTTGCTGGACTCATGTGATTATTTGCAAATATGTGCAGAATGCAGAGCAACTTGAGAAGCATGTCCATGTGTCCATGGAATGTTGAAGGAGAAAATCTTATTGTTCCATCTCTCATAAAAAGAAGTATCTTTTCTGTCATCTCTGCAGTGGACCTTTTTTGGTGATATTGTTTTTATTAATGATTTCTCAGTTTAAGACAGTTCTCAAGTATAGTGTTTAAGTGCCGTCTCATGTTCCTAAGCACAGGACGCTATTGATTTATGAAAACAGAAGCATAGAACAGTTGAGGAGATAGGTTGGTGGTCTAAGTGCCTGCCTGTCAGGCACAAGGACTCTTGTTTGATCCCCAGTACAAAATGCTGTTCTGGTTCCAGAACCACAGATGTGCTTTGCTGGCTCTGAAACTGGTGATAGTAACACACATGCCTGAGACAAGAGGATCACTTTAAGTCCTAGCTGTGGAGCAAGACCCTGTACCAATTAAGTAATTAATTAAAAAAGAAATGTAGAAGGTACATGTACTTAATTCAGCCTTCATTAATGAGATTCTTCACCTTTGTTTCAGTGTTAATGAGTTAATAGTCCAAAATAAGAAGAGAATTCCTTATCTTCATGTAAAACTACTCTTGAAAGTAGTAAGGAAATACTTTTGTGCATGATATAGGTGAGCACAAAATGTTAAAACAGCTAATTCGAGTGTTCATGAGATTGTGAATTTGTAAAAAGCATAGTACATGGCATTTTCATGAGCAGGAACCACAAACTTTAAAATTGCCTTAGTCCAAGTCAGAAAAATCTTGAGCCCTTGCCAGGTGTTGTATTATCACAAATAAGTCTTGCATTTAACTAAATCTCTGCACAAAGCTTGTGTTGTACAAGTCTTTAAATAAATATCTACCTATAAAACAAAATTGATGATAATGTCATAGAAGGCCCCAGGAACCAACTCCAATGAACTAACTCCAACATCTCCTTTGGAAAATTACTTAGTATTCACTACTTCAGCATTCATGCCATTTTGCATGCATAACTAGTATAAAGCATCAGATACAAATTTATCTATATTGTAATAATGGATATTTACATTTTAGTGGTGATTTACCTTCTCCTCTTCCACAAACATCACCTCAGCACCCCAAAATTCACACATACCTGCCCTTGGTGTCTCCCAGACAGCCCTGAGTTTATCTGGACACTAGACCTCTGCCAGAGGAGCCTGTGGTCTTGGCAAAACCCACATCCAGTCAGAGAGAGCCATAATCCTGTTATCTGAGGCAGAGAAATAACAGGCATTGTGCTATCCTCCCCAGCACAGTCTTTTAGTGCCCACTGTGATCGATGGAGTGCTGCTGCCTAAGGCACCTGAAGAAATTTTGGCTGAAAAGAACTTCAACACTGTCCCCTACATGGTAGGAATCACCAAGCAAGAGTTTGGCTGGCTGCTTCCACTGGTGAGTATGTACAGATCCCTTAGACAGAGACACACCTTCCACACCCTCAGTCCTCACTTGGGTGCTTCACCCTTAAGAAACTCTTTCTAAGACAATTTTTGATTGTCTTTCCATTAAGTAATCCTGAAATGGCCTGGTTCATGCATTCTTCAGAGGTAGGAATTGTGTAGCTTGTCAAAATGGAGGAATCTCAGAAAGGTGAAGAAGTTGGGGAGTCCAGGAGATTTTATCTGGGGTGCAACAACTTCCACCTGTGCCCATACTATTGCTTCCATAGGTCTCCACCTGAGGTCTCAGGTATATAATTGGAAAGATTGAAAGAAAGTCATTTTATTTCAGATACATTTGTCTCCTAAAATGGAAGAAGCATGTTAATTTATCAATCATAAATAAAAGTATGCTTCCTTTTTATACTTTTCTGCTAGATAGTTAAGACCAAGGTAAAGCAAGATGTATATAACAAGAAATATAACTTTTGTATGTGACAAGATCAGTCAAATCCCCTCAGGATTTATCCTGAAACCCCGTACCACAGTTTATAGATCCTTTGTCAGTGTCAGCCATGTAGATGAGTCATGGCCATTGATTGAACAATTTGCTTTCTGTGAAAGCCTAAGAGAATGTTTTCTCTCCATGTGACTCTCCTTAGGCACATTCTATAAAGCCATATTAATATTCTGAGATGTAAAAGACTCAAATCAACAACTTCTGACACAGTCAGTCCTATTTATAACTCACTACTATTATGGACTACTGGACTATATTGGAATATTTTGGTGAATTCACACACCTACAATACTTACATGACAATGGAATACCCATCTCTGACAAAACTAATCAAAAGGGCACACAAATGAGGGAACATTTTGTATCTGTATGCTAAAAATAGCTAGGATAGATATACAGCTACTTTCTCTTAATTTAGTGAATATAACGATTTGTACTAATAGTGTTTGTGGATAGGCTATCATGTCTGCATCTTGTACTATGAATAACCACTAAGAAGACAACAATATACACTGTATTAATTATTAAAACTGTCCTATTAATCGATTTTGAAACTGTCTCATTGCTATTTGTTTCTCAAAGAAATTATTAAAAATAAAAAAATAAATAAAGTAAAATGAAATACAAATTTGTACAAGTCAAAGCACTGGGACAGGTTTTATTCAGTAATTTGATTGCGATAGAGAAAAGACCAAGCATGTCCTGAACTCAACTCCCTAACATCAAAGCCTGGAGATGTTCAAGGCTGGATGAGTGAAACAAGTATGAAGGTGTGAGGGGGGCATCTGCCTTGTTAAGCCGCTGGGTTTATTCCCCCACGCTATCTGCAAGAGAAACAGACTCATCTTCATGACAGGAGGCAGAGCTGTAAGTTGAAGTGAGGCCCCCACAGAAGTTAGACCTCCATTTTCCCATTGGGACTGTCAGACAGATCAAGAGTTATCTGTCCAGATGTTTATATATTTAAAAGACATGTCAAAATATTTTAAAAAATAACTTTCAGATATTTGAGGAAACTTTTTTGGGTGAGATTTATATTTCAAATGGAGAAGAAGGGAGAATTGTAAGGTTTCTAAAGCAGCTGCTCTAAGAGAGTGCTCATAATTTCCACATATGGTAGTACGGATGGTAATTTTGTTTTCTTCAGTTATCTGGGTCAGGGTGTTCCAGATATAAGTTCATTAATTTCATAGATAATGTCACAGTGATAAAAGATCTAGGACTATCAGGTCCCTGCACAGAAGCTTCATTCTACATTGTTTTGGTTAGTTCCTGATATTTCAATATTACTCAGAAATGTTTAACCATTCTTTTAACAGATATTGGGTAATCCAATCCCTGAAGATAAGCTAGATGACCAGATGGCCATATCTCTCTTATGGAAGTTCTATCCGTTTACTGTAAGTATGTGGGAAATTATGGGCATTAGTAGAACAAAAAGTAAGGTTGGGAGAGGGCTTGTCAAAAGTAACAGACCGGAGTGAGTGAGACGACCCAGGCTGCGAGATCCTGAACAGACCCAGAGCACAGGCCTGGCGAGTGAGTGAGACGACAGAGGGCCTGGCAGGATCCTAAACAGACCCAGAGTGCAGGCCCGGCGGCAGAAAGAAGTGGAGCACAGCA